GCTTTCAATTGGGGAGAGTGATGGGAGGCCACAGCCAGCTTTGGTGCCCCACCCCTGCCAGGATGCTGCACAACCTTATTGTGGACCATTTCCAACTGAAGCAGAAACATCACATCAAAATACAGAGTTAAATGATTGGCAGTAAATGACAGGCAGTAACTCTGATATTGTTTATGTATCATCTGAGCATGTACCTGTGTCTGTATTAGTACCTGTACCATAACTGCCACCAAAACGTAGCATCCAAGTGCACAGGCTAAATATTAAGAAGGATTTGATTGAATTATTCCGAGATCCATTAACTATGAGTCAGGACATATAGATAATTGTTATTGATGCTAGGGGGTTGAAGAAGTGGGCAGAGGTGTTGGTTTGCTGAGAGATGTTTTCTTTCTTTTTTGGAAACATATGATTCCCTTTTTGTTGGAGGAAATGAGCGCGTACCATTTGTAAGACATGACTATCAAAGGGATGAATGGGTTGCTGTTGGCAGAATTTTGGTGAAAGGATATTTAACATGTCAATACCTACCAGTCCTTCTGTCTCAAACGTTCCTTGCTTGTCTTTTTTGGGGGGAATCTTCAGTAAATAGTGCTATGGTGACTCAATCCTTTAGAAATTACATTTCAGTAGATGAAAAATGTTTGATTGACAAGTGCCTCGCTAGTGACATGAAGTGGGATGATGAAGATGAAATGTCCCAGCTTTTAGAAGTTTTAGTAACTATGACTGTCGAATTATGGTAAATTCCGAGAATGTTAGTCAAGTTATTGAAGAAATAGCCCATAAGGAGCTACTGCAGAAGCCACAGTATATTGCAGACTGCTGGAAGGATATAGTTTCTTCACTTCTTCCTAGTTTTCCTGATTTTGCGGCAATTTCCAAAAGGTATGAATTGTTAATACCATCCAAAAGCAAAATCCTTAGTTGCCTAGAGGCAAATCCTGAGGGTGATGGGGAAAAGGATTGCCGTTAGTTTGTCAAATGGTATTTTAAGGGCCTTGACACGCCTCAGAAATTATCAAAGTTTGTAAGGTTCATCAGTGGGTCTGAGTTAATGCTTTTTGATGCAATCCAAGTAAATTTTACCAACTTATCTGGTTTGGGTCGCCGACCAATTGCGCACACTTGTAATACTCTGTTGGAGCTATCCTTGACTTATCTGTCATTTCCTGAACTTAAAGAGGAGTTCAGTGCAATACTTGCATCAGATTATTGGGAAATGGATATTGTATAATATGTCTTGTGACTAAAAGAAGACCATTGTGATGGCAAATGCAAGCTGATTTAAAACAGACTGATAATATCATTTTTGCCTTGGATAGGTATGTACGGTTTTAAAACATTTAACAACTGTGCACAAATTATTTTCTGGTAAATCATACTGGGAAATCATTAGCTAATGGCTGATTGTAGTAGCAAGCTTGTTATCTGTTCAAAGTTGACATTTTCAAGTGAGCGCAGCTGTTTAGAACTATTTTGTTGAGATTCTTATGAACTTTTTTCTTACTGTTGTAAAGGTTAAGTTGCATTTGTTGAACTATTCTGATTGATACAATTCAAAGGCAAATAATAAAGTTCAAACTGTTTGCATTTTCAATCTGTCATAGTGGTACCTGTTTGATAGACATTAATTGATCTTAATTCTAGGCCCTATTTTCACTCTCTAACAGCGGATTTTAGGTTAGTTGAATGCTGGGAACACCTGTTTTAAAGATTGTTACCACCAAAACAGCCTTATCTCAGCAAAGTTTCTTATATGTTGAACTGATTCCTAAGGATGTCCATGCATATCAAATATTGAGTTCTACCATGTTCACCATCATCATTCAAAGGGTGACAGGAGACTTCCAGTTGTTGTGGTGTCAGCTGAACATCAACAGCTGGTATTGAGACCTGGTAATTGTCGTCGTCTAGCGGGATAGGTCCATCTGGATCAAACCCATACAAAGGAATTTCATTTGGATGTAGAATACTCTCAATTCCAGAGTATCCAGAGTGCATGTTTTTCAAAATCCCAGAGGCAAAAGTTTGTAGGGGAGATAACTGATGTTCACTGGAGACAGGGTGATTGTTCCATTGACTAATGAAGTGTTGCAATGCGCTATTTATCCTTAGTATGTAGACAAAGTGCAATGAAAATAAATGTACTTCATTTCGCGGGTCAATAAGACCCATGTCTTCCATTCCGCTAAAGATATTGACAAAGTGACAAAGGACACCAGCATAAACATCTTTGTGAGCGCGCTCAACACGGCAGTTGAGGACAGAGCTACCCGTTATGATCCTTCCTCTGTTTAATCCTCTATTTTCCAACATGTACTGTGCCACTCCAACATTTTCCAGTCCATGATCACTTCTTACCCTTGAAGGTAAGCCAAAATCTTGTACGCCCTTGATAAAGAGCTCCAACACTGTATCTGCTCGGTTGTGATCAGTTAGGGTGGCATGCACAATAACCCTTGAATACCCATCAACACAGCAGTGCACAACAAACCTGTACCTGGTGAGCTTCTGGTTTCCGTCTATGTGCCACAAAGCGTTTGGAGTACTTCCGACGGTAAACTGGAGTAATCCAGACAAGTGCTATCCCAAGCGGGTCTTGTCTACGAAGTCAGTAATGAACCGTTCATCGCTGGATTCGAAATCCCCTTGCTCGGAGAGCTCCAAGCAATCTTCGTTGTCCAATGTTTGGAGTAATGCTTCTAATTTCTTTGACGGCGTCCTCAAGCTGAGAGTCTGAAAAGAAGTTCTAGTTAATGTTTAGTTACAAAGTTTGAAGTATCGTACATCGTTGTGTGAGATGGGACTTAGGGAACCTAAAATATTTTTACTAAGGGTATGGCTTCTAAGATTTATTTTACCCGAGACTATATCATCCTTATCTGATAATAAGCTTAAACCAAATAAGCTACTAGCATAGATAACCTCAGTCTGTAAATTACTGCGTACCTGACAAGGCAGTCCAGTTTTCGCTGTCATCATCCAAATTTAATTCCCGTCTTCTTCGACGTAAAGTACTTTCACTGATACCTAACAAACTAGCGATTTTTACCCAGGAGAAATGCAGTTCGCGTAAGAATTCAATCTGTTCTCTTTCGATGACGATTATTGGTCTTCCTGCACTTGTTAGTTTAGTGGTAGGACGAGCGAATGAATTTGATATCGTTGCTTTAACAAAATTTCTTTCCTCGTACTTTGTCATTGCACGAAAAACAAAGCGTACTTTTGTCAAAACAGCTTCTATTATTGTCTTGAAATCTTGAAGGACAGAGTCCTCACTTTTCCATACACTATGCAGTAGCAACTGTAAAGTTAAAATTGCATCTTCCAGACGCACGTTAGCTTGTTCAAAGTAATAAACGGAGACATCTTGTGTGTTCAAATTCTGAATACCAATCAACAGGCTACGACGAGATTCTACGAAGTTGTAAAGGCCTCTCTCGTTACCATCTCTTAAAGTTTCATCCGCCATTTTGCTTTTGAAATTGCCGGAAAAGTGCATCACGGTCATGTGATGACGTTTGCATAGTAATTAGAAAGAAAATAAAAAATCCCACTCGGAACGAAAAAAACACATGGAATAAATATAAAAAATATAGAACGCATATAAAATGAAGAGAAAAAATAGAAAATAGATCAGCTAAACACGTATATGTAAATTGATACGAAGAGATTTAAAAATATATAGAAGAAAAATGAAAAATAAAGAAGCAAAATAAAAAATACATAGAAAGGAAATAAAAATATGGCAAAGAAATGTAATGGATGTATTGTATATTAAGGTTGTTTGAATATTGACTGGAAAGGCGCGCCATACTCACACTCAATTGTTTTTCATTCGGGGACAACTTTTTCAAACAAACCAGTGGTGTAGCCATGGGTACCAAAATGGGACCTAGCTATGCCAATCTTTTTGTAGGTTTTGTCGAAAACCAGTTTTTCAGCCAATACAACGGCTCCAAACCTGAACTCTACGGTCGCTACATCGACGTCTGTATCGGTGCCACCTCCTCTACCACAGAGGAGCTGACTCAATTCATAACCGCAGTCAATTCTTTTCACCCGGCTCTGAAATATACCCGGGAAATCTCTGACAATTCTTTATCCTATTTAGACATCAAAGTTTCAATTGAAGGCAACGGTTTAGTATGCACTAGTGTGTATTACAAACCTACAGACTCGTATAATTACTTGTTGGATTCGTCTTCGCATCCATCTCACGTTAAGAATTCCATTCCTTTTTCTCAGTTTCTAAGACTTAGTCGTTTATGTAGTGACGACTCTGATTTCCACCACAAATCAGAGTCAATGTGCCAGTTTTTCGATAAACGTGATTACCCTGATTCTGTCGTTCAAGCGGGTTACCACCGCGCCTAACTTATTGATCGACATTCAGCACTAAAAACGTCACAAAAGGAAGATTCCGACCGCATTCCATTCACTCTCACGTTTCACCCTCACAACCACTTAGTTAAATCCATCATTCTNCTTTCATTCACAACACTGAGAAAATATCGGGACCCAAACGATCCATTAAGATCACCGATCACTTCACGTGCACCTCCGCCAATGTAATCTATTGCATAACTTGCACTTATTGCAAAAAGATATACATCGGCGAAACAGGCAGAAGACTAGGTGACCGATTCCGAGAACACCTTCGCGACGTGGAGAGGAATGACAAGGACACATCGAAACCAGTCGCTAGACATTTTAATTTACCTAATCATTCTAAGCAACATATGGCAATCTGCGGTCTTTCCTTACACTTAGGTAGCACGGAAAGCCGTAAAACTCTTGAACAAAAGCTCATCTTTCAAACCGGCAGTCTAAATCCCACAGGTATCAACGAACGCTTTTCATTCCACTAATTTATTCGTGTTTTTCTCGTTGCCATGTTCCCACCAATAACGTAGCTCCATTTTCTGCCTTTAAAAGCACACACAACCCACAATTCCTCTATTCGCTCCGACGAAGGGCTAACACTCGAAACGTCAGCTTTTATAACCGTAACGGTGGCCAATTTACCATTTCAACTTTGTTGATACATTCAAATTATTTCCTTACCCCTCATAGTTTATTAGGTATATAGGGTAAAGAACACGTGGGAGCAAAGTCAGGTGACCAACCGCGACAAAAATAGCGAGTTTTTTTGAGAGAATTTTCTGGCGTTTTATCACTAGTTATAAGTCCTCTTTGTGAGTTATTGTGCCAAGAATAAACAAGAAAACGAAGAGGAACTCGTGAGTTCTGTGTAACCGTTGTGTTTTCTACAACTTAATTCATTGTTATTAACAATACATAAACCATTTTATGAGTAATTTCTTAAAATGAATTAGAATACTTAATTTGCGTTTCTTTTGAATAGTTCATGATTTCTCCATTGAATACCCTGATCAAACAATGTCATGTTCAAAATGTTGACTTTATATAAAGAAGAAAAATAAACTCTAAAACCAGGTATAACCTAAGAAAGGTCATCAATAGTGTCTTCTTTATCACTCAGCCTCTTGCACTTCTTCGCCTTCTGCTGGTCTAGACCCAGATTCAGATCAGGAGAACTGCCCCTTTTCCTTCTTGACTCTCTCGAAAGCATATTGACTCTCTTTTTTTCCATCGTCTCCTTTCCCAAGAATTCTGTATAAAAGTGATAGAATATTCAACAACAGTCACTTTTGATCCTATCCCCGGCTTAAGTTAGATATTTACCCAAACAAATTCGTCCACCCAAGGAGTGTCTACCCTAAGAGAAGTCAAACCACGTAGAAAGATTCGCAAATTTGGCCTCAAATTACGTATTATGTATAGTGATAAGCCCTTGATGACCTTTATACTTAGGGTTATACTAACATTGACATGAGCATGTGTGTGAGTTCATTTAAGAACACCATACCAGGTTTTTACGTGATTGTTCTCAGATGTAATTGACTTTATATGACAGTGAGTGCTTGGATTATCATCTTAATGCCATTTGTGTCTACTACCATCAAGTTAGCTTACGATACAGGCGTCTTATTAGGGCAATTTAACGTTAACGTTTTTTTTCGACTGGCCATGTTTGATTTATAGTTACAGGGGAGTGGGAAGGAGGCGGGGAGAGCCGAAATTTCAATAACAATAGTATTTATTTCCCCACCTTCCCCCACTTCTTTTCACTTTTGACCGTCCCTCGCCCAACTTGGTACAAATTTCAGCGGTTGTTAAAATCAAATATGGTAGCTACAATTTTCACCAAGATAATACTGAGCAGTTTTTTTTATCAAGTCGTCTTCAATATAAAGAGTACAGTAGAATAATTTCCTTCTTATCTCACCCGTCGACTGTTTGGTAGTTCGGTCACTGACACCAGGGGTCCTTGGGACCTGAGAATCAGTCGATACTGCTGCGGCTAACGATGGTGACGTCAAACGAAACTGATTGGATGGTGGCGCTTGAAAAATTGGTGAACTGGCTACTCCTGCCCCACTTATTTCTGAAAATGACCTTTTCCGACACAAAGTGGTCTCAACACCGCCCAAATTATTGCGAAAGTGAACCACCTGGCTCGAGCCTTCTTGGTTGTATAAATTTCTTTCTGCCTATGATGATAAAACTAATGTTACCAAATTTGTCCATGAGATCATAAATGTATTCACCATTGCGCCGACGCCTCTATAAGCATAGCGTATACGTAGATACTGGTATTAGGACTCAACTAAAGCATTAACATCTGTCTTTAAATATGTGCCAACCCTCTCGCAGAGGGCCGCATCATTAACTGATAGAACCTTCACTTGTACTTATGACAAGCTTTTTCTGTGGGTTGATTTTTTCTAGAGGAAACTCGTCAGAGGGTGAAGGGTCGGTCATTCTGTGACACTCGGGACGACGAAACGTGTAATAAACAAATCCAAAGTGGTTTACCATGGTCTGTATTCTTAGCGACAACGATATTCGTCATCACAATGGTCAAAATGTTGTGGACTTACGAGGGGCAGCTGAATAAGTACTCCGTTGTATGTAGTTGTCCCCAGTTTTATAGATTAAGTGGTCATTGCTATGGTAACTGTAGTTAATTCTGTGATCAGTGGATCACAGTTTAGCTGAGTGGACTTAAGCATGATTCCCTGCTTTGACTGTCTGATTGTGCAGGTGTTCGACTACAGCCAACTTTCCGATTACACTGTCCGATTACATCTCCACAGGATAAATATTGAAAAACGAAGCGGTTAATGCACCAATCACATCAGTGAGGAAATTATAATGGTTTAAGTTGGAAGGGGAAACATTTGGAGCCCACCGCTAGTTATTCGTTTGTAGCTGTCAGTAAAATATATCATCTAAATCACTCTCATAAAGCCGTCATAACAAAGTCTCTCTCTACGAAGGATTGTACTTATTAGTATAAAGGCTGATAGTTTCGAAGGAAACTGTTTGGCATACTTACTAGGATGCCTTTAGGTGTCCTTGTACCAATGGTTGATGAAGGCTGGAAGCAACCTGGGTTTCCTCTGGAAGCAAAATTGAAAATGACCATAGCTGAACGATTACGAAGTAATAGCTTTGCCACAAATTTACAACCATCCAGACTTACTATGCAATTAACCAGACGTACTTGCAACCATTGCGTAAACAATCAATCATACTTACCGTGCATCTAATCTTCGATTAGATTCTCTCTGCGAACAAAATCTAACCGGGTTTCCTCCTTCGGATGTCTGACAGTTATCCTGAAGAAGTGATTAAATTAAGAGAGAGTGAGGGAGTACAAAAAGTACCTCACACCACATAGATAAATGTGTACAGTTTAGAACATAATGTTTTTCTTAAATCATTGAAAGTATGATAGCTACTTGCTCTATTGACTGACCGTTCTAAACTTACAGAAACAATCAACCAAAATGAAAGAGAGAAAACCGGTCATCGACAAAAGACGGTATTTTTTCGGGTAAGAATATTCTGTTTCGTCATAAATGGTTTAATCATCAGAAGACATTTCAAGAAGGAAGCTATTTAAAAAAGAGAGGATACTGAGGTTTAACACTAATTCCTCGTCATTTCCTTTCTTGAAACTATGAAAATTGGATTACTTCCTTTCAAGTTTCCTGTTGTTACTGATACCATATTTCTTGACTGAAATTTTTACTAATGCTTGAAAATATCAACTCCTATACATCCCTACCTCATCTTCAGACCGCATTTCAGTGTCAAAATCCATTATGATTTGTTGGAGTCTCTTTTCAGAAGAAATCCAAAAAAATAACAATGAAGAGGAATTATTATGAGCTTGTTTGTTTGTTAAACAATGACGTTGGCCATTAATGCTTACGAGAGAACTTTTTCGACATGCAGTTACTTTACAGTGAGCTACACTGAAGCAATACTGAACAAAAGATTACGCAATGCTGTCAACACGAAAATAGGTAAAAATAAATGTAATTGTTATTCCACTAAGCTCTTCAAGACGCAGGAACACCAGAGAGATGGGACGGAATCTAAATAAAATTTTGCCTTAAGATACAAGTATAGCAACTCATCAAATCTGTCAGCGACAAAGATCAATGAGCTCTTTACATCAACTGCGAGAAATTTATGCAATTTCTCTAAAGCCTTCCATTAGACTTCGGCATTCCTCAAATTTCTTTACTGGGACCTTTGCTGTTTGTGATATACATAAACAACTTGCCTCAATGTTTGCTGCACTCGGCGAAAACTATGTATGCCAATGACATAGTGTTGGACCTATTTAACTGGGTCCGATATCAACATCGCAAGAGAAAATCTACAAGAGGACCTCAAACGAGTAGAGCAGTGGTTGATGAGAAGCAGACGACTAATGCTAAATCGGAGTAAAACGAAAGGGCTTCTCTTTGAGACAAGGCAGCTATCATAAACTTCATCAGACTTTGCACTGCAGATCCGAGGCAAGGACATAGATAGAGCGACGAAGTTCAATTATTTTGGGGTTATGCTCGATGAACAGCTTCACTGAAAACAGTATACCGACTCTATTTGTAACAAAATCAACGACCGTTTGGGACGTTTAGCATGGATAACAAATAGCCTTATTCTCAAAGCAACGAAGTTTGTTCGTAATACCCTTAATGAGCCAATCCTGTGTTATTCCGACACTGCATGGGTTGAACTGGCAAACTCCGGCTAAAACCCTTTAACAGTTACAAAATCGTGCTGCCCGCATTGTTTTCATCGTCGTTCTCATACCTTCCTTCAACGACGATTCCAGGAGACAGGATACAAGGATAAATTACGTCATATGTACCATTTCCGATTCAAATCACACCCGATCATTTTGATGCAATAACAATACATACGAAATCGAACGAGTTTGGATTTACCGGCGAATTGTTTCGCAGACATACTCCTAACATGACCAGCATAAAGCAAGAAAGTTTTCAAAACATTTTCCATGTTGTACGAAGCAATTTGTCGCCGCGACCAGTCTCTGAGTCGTGCTAATATTCTAGAGGACGGCCAATTGTGTTGGGTTCTTACCGATGTGAGTGGGGAGAGATCATTCGGCCCCCAAGCCTGGATCCTTTTGATCCTATGAATGATCCCTGGATCGGTTGCAACCCTTAAATGACACACCAAGCAACGAGTCGCTGTGACACGTCGCGGGGAAACGTGATCGCTATATGTAGTTTTAGCCCCTCATGGCTTAAAGAGAAGGAAAAGGAAATGGAAAGAAATACGTACAGCTTTTCGTAAATTCCTGATTTATCACTGAGTAGCCGTATTCTTCTGCTTCGTCTCCTTCGTCTAATAAAATGAGACGAAAAACTTGGGGATTTGAATATAGTGCTCAATATCTTATACAGTTGCAGATCTAGGGAAGGGGCCTGAGGACCCAGATCCCCCCCCCCCAACTTATTTTGGTTAAAAATAGAAACCAGCGTAATTGATTCTGTCGAGGGTTACGCTTTTGGCCACGTTTCGAAATTTATTTTCTACTTATAGGCCAAAAATTTCAAGCCTGAATTCAACGTAACTTATGGCGGGAAAATTTCGCACCACAAGTCACGTTGAATTCAGGCTCGAAATCTTTGACCAATTAGTAGAAAATTCCTATTTTCAACTTATTTGCCAAAATTTCAAGCATGCATTCAAAGTAACTTATGGCGCGAAAATAGGAGTTTTCTACTTATAGGCCAAAAATTCCAAGCCTGAATTCAACGTAACTTATGGCGCGAAAATTTCGCGCCTTAAGTTACGTTGAATTCAGGCTCGAAATCTTTGGTCAATTAGTAGAAAATTCCCTGAGAATAAATTATCACATATAGATTGGTGATCATGCATGTCCTTGTACCGCATACAGAAAGTTTGTCTATGTAGTGTCTAAAGAAACTGGACATGTGCTTTCACGTAATGCAAGGACAGATATTTTTATACTGCGTTGGAATGAGTTAAAGCAAACTTTAAATGTTAGCGACTAGAAATAGAATGACACAATTCTCACCTGACAGAAATTCTTCTCAATTCTTCTTTTTCCTTGCGTGTTGTTCCTCTGGCAGCTAGATATTAAATGAGGTTTCAAATTTGGTGCTCTATTTTTAATTAGAAAACCGACCAATCACTTTTAAGCGTAGTCACCCTTGCACATGTCTGGGTGATGCAATTGAGTGTGGGGATAGAGCAATCAGCCAATCACAAATGACTGACCACGTGCTGAGCACATTGGGAGCAAATGCAAATTATGGCGCCAATTTTGTTTTATCTTTGAGGAGGTGAAGATTTACAGTGATGGATTAAACGTTTTAAAATCATTGCAATACGTCGGACATTAAATTTTACCTTCCTTCAGGCCGCTATCACCAAACTGACCACTAGGGAACTTCCCAACCAGCAACGCTTTATTATTTCATGTCAGAACTGTGCAGACAGTTTGCCCCTTCGACACACGTTTCATTCGGTTCTTGTTGATCGGTGGGATTCTTCATTCGTCTGCTTGACACATTGCACATGAAAGTAGTTCCTAGAGAGGAAAAATAGAGGAATATCTTAATAACAACTAAGTAGACCATTTTCAATTTGTCTGCAGCTCGTGCGATTATGAAAACGATCCAAATATCACTCATGCTTATGGTTTCACGACAGGCATTCGCGTTTTTTCTGCAAGAATGAATGCTCTGCTTCCAATTTCCTGCTACTACTTTGTCAACATATATTAGATATCAATTTAGCCCTCAAAGGGTTTCTTCGCTTAAAAGATCAGGTTGACTTCGATCTGAATCAACACAGAGTTGATAGTATTGAGCTTCCCGCCAATTTTCAACCAAAACAACCTCGTCAGTTTCGAGTGATTGCTTTTCGCAAAAAATCGTGCTCGTTACAGATAAAAAGATTATTTCAAACTCATTAGTTTCTCCCCTTTCAGTTAGTTTAGTAACACACGACTACTTCAGAGCATTGGTAGAAAAAAGGCATGCAAAGTTACGTTCTTACTTTAAATTCTCGCCATGTATAAATCCCGATAATATTCGCTCACTTTCAAGTCATCATTTCGTTAGCAATGTGATTCTACGCGCCTAAAATAGAGCAATCAACAAAGAAATATTTTGAGTGAAAAAATAACAGCCCCTGCACGGTTCAAAACTCAGACCATTTTACAATGTAAACATTGAGAGCATGATGATGTGGACGCAAAGGGTTTGCAAAGGATAAATGACAATTCGAAATAATTCAGCTTACTGCTAAAATAAAGAAACAACTTTTGAGTTCAATAATCAGGTCTTTAATGACCCTATGTAATCCTAAGTTTTTCATTTTCGTCTCTCGTCAAAATTATAATGTTTAAACATGCTTGGGAAAATGAAAATGGCGCCCATGTCAGCCCGCCATTTCTCGTTCTTCCTGTGAGCAAGATAGAATGCTTCAGAGACTTCTTCTGTCGTCTTGTACAAAACGAATTCATTCAAGTAGATAATTTTAGAACATACAATCTGAACATCAACAATTTTTTTCGGAGCAAACATATCTAAATACGAAAGAAACCACTTTTGCCCGCCTTGATATCAACGACTGTTTGATTACCAATTTTCAACTCGAACAAATAATTCTATTGAACGTTTCCCATAACTTGTAATCATACGAATCATGATATGAATCTTTTCTAAACTTGCTAGATCGAATAGTTCTCTGAATCTAAGATTTACGAAGCAATACTCATGCACTAAACAAATCTCTCCTTCGACTCAACTTTAAGAATTCGAGATCGACCTGACAAGCACAGTTATGGTTTTAAAGTCAAAATTTAGCTAACTTCTTAATCACAGGATGCTTCAAATCAAAGTTTTATTCAACTAAAAAACTAAATTTTCTTTTGGCATGTCTTTCTTAAAGTGAGAATGTTTGCATTTTAAAACTTAAGAAAAAAAAGTAATTCTTACAAATGGCCTTCATACGACGTAGCTCTTATGACTCATGGTTGGGAAGACATGCAGATAAAGTTCATATCACCACTTTTTCATTTGAAATTAGTCGTATACAAGTCAATGCATTGTCAGTGATTCGCTCTTGATCTTTCAATCTCTCACTCACTGTCTTTCTTTCATCTGTTCAATCAATATATAGCAAGTTCTGATTTCATGAAATCGTAAATTTAAAATGGAGTGCACAACTGCGACCGAGCAGCTTTTTCTTTTCAAACATTCCAGCACATGAGTTTCAAAATAAATCTGTATATTACAACTTTCATTTCTTTTAAATCAAGTCATGTAAAAGCCAATGGGTTTTGAAAGCATCAAGCTAGTTCTTACTGAGAAGAAAACTTTACATAAACTGTTGAGCATGAATTGAGTAAATCTATTGATGATAAATTACAATTCCACAAAATTGTCTCAAAGTTTCAGAAACAGCTTTCCTATTCAACCTTTGGCTAACGCACGAGATCAAATACAATCCTAAGGCTCTCCCTTCTTTTTTCTTGACAAAATTATGATGTCTGACCATGCACATGTACCGAAATGAAAATGGCGCCAACGTTATAGGGCGCCATTCCTGTTACTTGAATCGGGAAGAATGCCAGACCAAACCTTCGGAGAGGCTTCTATAATCGATCTCAACGTCAAGAATTCACTTAATTTATTTTGAAACAAACAATCAGACTTTTTTTCATTTTTACTCGGAATAAGCAGAGCTAACTACGCAGGGCACAACTCTGTCAGCCTCGACATGTATAAGTGCTTGCCCGCCAAAATTTTTCAACTCGAACAAAAACGAGTTCCACGGACTAAAAATCGTACAAATCACAGATGAAAATTCCAGATAGAGACAGTGAGCTAGTTCGACTCGCCTATTGAATGTTTCAAAACCCAATTTTTAATCGTGCTAAATTCGTCACACAAACCTCAGTGAAGTCCTCCAAAATAACAGTTAACACATGAAATGAACCGAACGAAAAATAAACAAATTTCACTTACCTTTCCGGACCATAGTGAATCCAAATCAATAAATTGTCATTCTCTATTTTTCTGATGTTTTCGAAGAATCGAGGACATAAAATTCTGGCAGAAATAGTTGTCTGTGGTACTCTGTTACGGCTGCATTGTGAAACAATGAGACGAAACTCTCATTTGTAGCGTAATTCTCTTTCCGAAGGTTGACTCGTTCCGTTCTTGGCAAACGTTAAACCTGTATTTCATACAATAAGATAAAAAAGGATAAAATTGGGTTTAATAAAACTTTCTGAAAGCTGCCAGATACTTGAAAATCCCGCGCAAACAGTTACCGCCTCGTACTTGCCTTCACTGACGATTCGACATATTCATCGCTCTAATTGGTAACGATCTACATAGAACAGCTCATAGCGGCTGTTGAAATTCACCTTTAGTATACCTCTCATATCATTTCATAGCCTCGATGATCCAGTTCAGTTCTCCTCTGTCGTCTTTGAGTGAGATCCTTACGTGCGCCTACTCGAGCGCAAGAACTGAAAATGGCGGAAAACTTGGTTCTGGCGTTATTTTAACATTAACATCTGCGTAATATATCCGGTTACGTGTCAAGCAGATATCACGAGGTCGTTCCGATTGAGCAGACTGTATAAATAGTTCTTATGTTCGTGTTTAAGACTGGTGTAAACTGATGTGCTGAAGGATGAGCGTTAAAATCAATGTTTTTTCATGTTCATGAAAAAATTTGACTCACTGCTTTCATTAAGACCTGCATCACTCAGAACAACAAAAAAAGAGCTTCCCATCAATGTCGCAAATAACGCAATAAAAAGGATTACAAAATCAATCGTGATCTGAAACGGCAGCAGCAATTCAAGTTGTAAGTATCGGTCAGGTAAAATAGAGGGTTTTTCTGCTAATTTATTTAGCTCTCATTCCATTTTCATAATAGCAAGTTTAAGCCAACTTATTTTCTTCAGGCACAAAGCGACATTTTGTTTCAATATTTCTTGGACTAAGAAAAAATATTGCAAACAAGACAACATTGCCGCTCGAAGACTGGGAACCAAGCAATCCATTTTTGATTAGTTCCCAATGCCCTCTTGTATGGACACAGATTGAGGACAAGTGGAAACCAACCAAGCTAGGAACAAAAGGACTCCGAAACAAATTGCAAGCGTTCGTTTCAAACAACTGTAGAAAATTAAGCAAACAGAGAGAGAAAGAAGAAAGTGTAGGCGAGCAAGAGATTATGAGCTGTTTACATTCTCCTGATACGGGCGTTTACCCCACTAGACAGGCTAACGGGTTGTCTCATACCCAGACCTTCCACGGCCAAGTGGTTGTTACGTCCTACATTTCAGTTACATAGGATCTGAGTACGAATTAGCCGACGAGTATAGCGACCAATTTCATGAGATTGCAATAAAATCTCGTGAAAAAAAGACATGATGAACTTTTTTTCCTATTATAACCATTCCCAAGAGGATAAAAACTGTTCACCCATACATTATTTGACGGTACTTTAGGGATTTTTGCTTTTGAAATTGGTTCTATTCGTTTTTGTATGGCAGACCTTTGATTTCCATAAAGACAGAGCTTAGGACCTTATAAAGTGTCTAAGAGACCGATTGTTTTGCGGAGTAACCATAAGTTTCTTTTGGTCGATTACCTTTCGAGCAAAAATAGTCCTTTTTACAGTTGTGGGCTTGGTGGTCAAGCCTTTGAAAAGGAGTGAGGCTAAGGGTGACCTTGTTATGATAGACATGTTGCTGCTTTTCAAATGCAAATTTCTTTGTTATCATGCTAACTAGATACAGGTCTCTATCACAACAGAGTCACTCTTAGCCTCACTCCAGTTCAAAGGCTCGGCCACTAAGCCCGCAACTGCAGAAAGGACTATTGCTCAGGTGCAGCAGACGTGTTCAGCAGCCTTAAACTTTCCAACTAAGAGCTTTCTCGCCTAGGGACTGTATGACTATTTCAGCTCTTCGCCAGCATTCTAATGGAAGTACTGTTAATCACCAATTAAGGAATTGCTGAGCAGTATTTCTTTGTGTTTTTTGTCTATTTGACTGTACAAGGTAGTCCTAAACTATTATGTCTCTAGATAATACTTCTGTGTGAACTTTTGAATGGAAGCCCCTGAGCAGTAATCTTGTGTAAGAGTGCTGTTTATTTCTCCCTGCAAGGAGGGTATCTTTTTGGATTCATGCACTTTAGTGTTTTACTGATCGGTTTCGCGTGGCTGTACAAGTTTTTAGAATGGTTCAGTAATAAAAAAAAAAAAAAAAACAAAACAAAACAAAACAAAAAAACAAAAACAAACAGAAACTAAAAAAAAAGCAAAACAAAAAAAATTAAAAGCGAGACTATCTTTGATCATGAGTTCATCTATTTCGAAGGAAATAATGTTACAACGCTTTTTCTAAAATTTAGTGGTCAAAGTTTATCACAAATCAACCAAAAATTTCGCTCGTTTAATCTAGTGGCGCAAGTTCCTCTATTCTCCACTTTGGTTCTAGAACAGTAATGACTTCTTCTTCCTCGTTGTCAGGCTCAAGAACAACTTCAACCAGTTCATATCTCCCTCGCATCTCACAGCCGTGATCAAAAACGTATTTACCTTTCCCCTTGGGTTTATCCTGCGAAAATCCCCCGGAATACCGATGGTTAGCATGGATCAATTCCCCGACCTCGTCCATTTTCCCATGGACCCACGTTCCCCGGTACTTAGAGCCTGTCTCTATGTAAGTGTATTCCCCTTGACCGTGACGCTGATTGTCGGCCCACTCCCCCTCGTAAATGTCCCCGTTCGGGTAGGTGTATTTCCCGCGGCCATGACGGACATCGTTGAGCCAGAACCCTTCATATTTGGAGCCATCGGGATAGAGGAATGTTCCCTCGCCGTGTTTTATACCGTTCATGTAGCTTCCAGTGTACCTCGCTCCGTTTTGGAATCTGGAACATGCAATATAATTTAATTGCCTAGCCTAGAATTAAGCGATTAAACGGATTATAAAAGTAAATGGAATTTCATCAAACAGAGAACAAATTATCGGAAAAATTTCATGGTAGCTTTACGACCGCGAAATTTGAAGTAGCTGGCTTTGAATTATCCAAAGTTTTCCAAATTACCTTTTACCCACACTTTTAAAAATGTTTTTTTTTTTCTATAACCAAATGTTTCCAATCGAGTGCGAAAGATAAGAACTTACTTGTAGGTTCCAAGACCATGTCTCTTTCCATGCGAATATTCTCCTTCATATAGATCGCCATTTGGCAGCTTTGCTTTTCCTTTCCCATGTCTTTCTTCTTCTTCGTTTCGATCGCCCTCATATTCTCCTAAATATGGAACACCTTCGTCTTCAACGCTTTCTTCATCTGACGACATTTTATGCTCAAAACCCTTTCTTAATTCAGTTCACCTCGACTCTTATTACCGTGCTTTCTGTTTATAGGCCGTTTCTAAGGCATAATATTGAATTCAACGATTTGAATAAATATTCACTCTTATGTCAATATAGATAAGCGGCCATTGGTTGATAGAAAAGACGAGTCAGGATATTGTTTGCATAAGAGCTCTGTGAGCTGCTAAACTAAAGCAGATTTGCATAAAGCACCAGCGTGGCTGTTAGATTAATTAGAAAAGCCTGCAAAAGCGAAAAAGGTCGGGTTTAACTTTGGAAGAAATTTAAACTCTACCGAAACTTTTTCTCTTCAATTTCTTTTCAATACAGAGCTGTTTTAAGAAACTTCTCTTGACTATGGAACTGCCAAGCATATGCCATGAGGAGTTTGTGATGACTGATCAACTTAACATTGTTTTTGTTTCTTGGTTTACGTTACATCGTGAGCAGGTTGCGTTACATCGTGAGCAGGTTGCGTTACATCGTGAGCAGGTTGTGCTTGCATTGTGTTCACAGTCTGAAAGGAATCTAGTTAGAAGATTCTTTGTTGTCATTCACTGGGACGGAAATTTAGCTATAAAGGCATTGCTTATTAAAAAGAGACTGTATACTGCAGACTGCATACCGTACACTTAGTATGTAGCGCCGGCAGACTAGGTTCACTAGTAAAGTGCAGACTGAAATGCGAATTTTTTTTTTTTGTCTAAAATTTCAATTTCAAAATTTAACCGCAAACAGTTCAAAACTGTTCTTTGTGAATGGAAAGTCTGCATTATAATTACAAAGACATATAGAGTTGTAATTATACCTAGAATGAATTAAGAACTGAAAAAATAAATGATATGATGACATAAATATTAATGATGATTGATAACAAAGGAAAAAGAAACTACAAATGTTTATGATGATCGCAAAGGCATGATCGAAAACTGGGAAACTGGGCTCTAAATCTTAACTATTTGTTTGTTGCTATGCAACTACGCCAGAAAATAATCGTTTCAAAATGGCGGACGGTAGAGGAGAATGCTCCATCTTCTTTCGATTTTAAATATTTATCCCTGTAGAACGCGTCAAATCGGCTGCAGCAGCGTTGTAAACCATGATTTAATTTAGTTAGTATGGTATTCATGGACAGAATTAGAAGCTTTTCGAAGAGATGTAAGATCTAATAGTCATTCGTTTTCCTAAATAACTCGCCTAGAGCAAGCCGAATTTGTTCGTGCTCTAGAACAGTAGAAGAATGCATTCAAGGGCGCACATGTTACTCGAGAAAGAGTGGTTCAAATTGCAAAAGGAAGAACTTCCTTGGGTAAGTTGCACTTATTACACGCGTACCTTCTAACAGTGTTTAGTGAGCATTGTATATTTAGTATGTATTGTGCTCTTGCATGTTAAGTGTGTATTTATGTTCATCGCGATCGTACATTGTTGTTGTTAACATTTATATATCCTGCTTCCTTCATATGATGTGTAACGAGTATAGTGGTCAGAATTCGATGTAGTACACGTAGATATGTGTCGTGGTCAACAAAACGAGCGATAACACGTGTACTGCTAATAACTTTTAAAAATTCAAGGCCTCTATTTTCACGTTAGCGAATAAAACCATTTTGTTATTTCTCACTCGCTCATCATAAGTGGACCTCAATGTTCATCTATTAAGATCATGTTTATATAGATTAAAGTAGAATGTAATTGTAAAAATAGATTGTAATAATATTATTATTTTATCTGATAGATTTACCATGTCTAAATAAAAATAAAGTTCAAGATTTATAAAAGTCAGCACATTGGGACTAGGAGTAGGCTTGTGGTTGTTACTAGGGACCTTAAGAAACCATGACAGCGACGGCAACGAGGACGTGGAAAAACAAGGTTTCTAATTGGCAGAACAATAGCTCAGCACATGCATTTTGAAACTTTGTACATTTCTTAGCCGTCCTATGCAAAACAACAACATGAAATTGCCAAAATTTGCATCGTCTGCGAGCCAAAACCGCGACAGCAAATTATTTTAAATTTTCATTTGGACCTCAATGCTACTTTTATACGTCATACTAAAGTTGAGCTGTGGCGCCGTATGAGACAGTAAACTCATTTAGCTATTTTTGAAATTCTAACTAAGAGTAGAAATTCATTTTCTAATCGAAGTCTTCCTTGGCATTGCTGTCGGGGTTTCATAAGGTCCCTACTGTTTATACAGCTGAAGCTGAAGCTTGAAACCTGAAATATGTGTGTGTGACTTATGATGGTTTGAGTGGGAGTTACAAGGACAGATTCAGAACTTTTTATTGTGGGGGGGGAGGGTAAAATTTTTATTCAGGAAGTGCATTAAGTTTAATTCACACTGGAGCCTTTACATGTATAAGTTGAGGAATTTTTCAAAAAATGTTAATTGGAAACACTTCATATTGACCTATAATATGCACCCTTGTTTTGGATGAATTTTGACGTGGATAGACAAAATGTAAAATATATCTTTAGGTGTGATGTGGGAAAGGGGGGTGGGAGAGGTAGACCCTCTCTTGAATCCACCACTGAGTCATCATGTACATGGCTTCATACAACTTATTTCTCTCCATTTAGGGCATTAAGGCCAATCCACTAAAGGAGGATGTGGACATGTTTACCTGGGAAGGAACCATAAAAGGCCCTAAAGACACAATGTGGGAAGGTACATAATTACTACTGTTGATTTTCTGCTCTCCTCTGCTAAAGCCTCTCTATAAGTCACATGGAAAAATGTCATCCTTGAAAAATAGACAATGTTTTGAGTCTTCAGTACTTTTTGTTAACTCTGTTACTGTCTTCAATAGGTGAATCAAACAGCTAACTTTTCTCCACAAATTCAATACATTATCTAATAAAAGTAAGCGGCAATAATAAAGATATATATCATACTCTGATATAGAACCAAATTCTCATAACAAGCTCATAACAAAGTCTAAAAAAGTTAGAAAGGAGAATCACCCATCTTGTCCTTGGAATTAATAAATTTAACTTTTAAATTGTTGTCAGGTGGTGTTTTCAAGTTATATCTTCAATTTGATGAGTGCTACAATGACAGACCACCAAAGATTTTCTTTCACACAATTCCCTTCCATCCAAATGGTGAGATTATTATTATCATAATGATATTGTTAAGGCTGTGGTGTCAGAATGATATGTAATGATCACAATCAACTTGGGTACTGTTTTCCTGATAAAAAGAGTTTAACTTTGAAATCAATTATAACTATCAGGGAATAAAAAAGTTTCCACCCTCCCCCCCCCTCTGCCAACTTATATAAAAAAATAACCTTATGATTCTTTGAAAGTAACCACAGAGTAGCCTTCTAAAAGTGTTTGAATGTGCCAAAGGGAAAGAGAGCTTCCCTGAATTGTCATAGTTCTCTTTAAGAGGGCTTTAAGCCCATCACAAAAAACCACGATCACCTAAACTTATTGCACCACTCCCTCTTTCAAAAATTGTTTCTATTAGTCTGTACGTTGTGTGTTGTGCAATGAATGTATTCTGAGTTCCTCCTTCCAATACTTATCAAGATTGTCCTTAAATAGCAAAACTTTACAAGCAGCATAACGCTGTCAGTAATGATCACAAAAATTAAATTTGCATCCTTATAGTAGAGAAAATAGATATTCAGATTTGAACTGTTGAACTGTCTCTTGCTATTGTTGCTTTTTAGTTGATCCAGAAACGGGTCAAGTGTGTACAGACTTCCTTGATGATTCAAATTGTTGGAAAGAGTTTTATTCAGTTTCTTACATGCTGCTCAGTATCCAGGTAAAGAAATAAAATGCAGTTATGTTGTCTGTACATGTAGTTCAAACTTATAAGTTTGTCCTTTTGCGTCTGTAATTCTATTAATACCAACATGTAGTACTTGCTAATTTGAATTTTTTTCCGGCCAAGACATCTTTGTGCCGGTTGCCGTGGCAACATGTAGCATTTTTTAATTCAGGTCAAGAGTACCCAAGGGCTAAATTTCTTGTTTAATAATATACATGAAAAAATTTCTCAGTTCTGATTGGTTAAGATGAATGCAGTTTTCAGTTAATTCAGTACAGAAGAGAGTTAATTCAGTGCAGAAGAGGGTTAATTCAGTGCAAAGAAAGAAACAAACCGAACATTCTGATTGGTCAGAATGATTGGTCAATGTCAAGGTCAATGTCAAGGTCAATGTCACTTGCAGGGTTTGAATAAATTATTTTTGCACGTGATGCGCGCGCTTTTCTTCTGCGAAGTTATAAGAAGCTACCTTGTATTTTTTCATGTATATTATTAATACATAATCACATGATTTCTTTGAGCAATTTGGAATAAATAAGCACTTGTAAATTTTTTCAAAGACCACAAATTTCACTCGCCCTACGGGCTCATGCAATTTTGTTGTTCTTTGAAAAAATTTACTCGTGCTTATTTATTCCAAATTGCACTTGAAATCATGTGATTACCTATACTAATTTCACAGCTGCTGCTCCCAAATCCTGTTCTTGAGGATGCTGTAAATCCCAGTGCTGCCAGAATTTTTGCTTCTTCGCCAAGTAGTTTCAGACAGACTGTGCTGGACTGTGTTCTTGCTAGTAAGAGAGTTGAAGGTGAGAAGAAATTTACAAAAGTTGGCGTGCTTCTGCTGGCATATACTCGTACAGTTTTGCAGAATTCATCTCAAATTGCATCCAATCTCACAATACATAGGAAATCCTTTTCTGAGAAATGCATAATCTCGTCAAAATGGCAAAAGAAAAAGTTATTTTGCTACAGTTGTATTCAAAGAATTCATGTGAACTCTATGAGAACTGCACAATTAAGGGAGGGGTGGGAGGGGAGAAGAGCACAAGGCATGGCAGGGGAAGGAGAGGAAGCAAATATTAGCAGAAGGGGGTGAACAATCTTGGAAGACCCATGAGAACTGCACAGTTAAGGGAGGGGTGGGAGGAGAGAAGAGCACAGGGCATGGTAGGGGAAGGGGAGGAAGTAAATATTAGTATAAGGGGGTGAGCAATCTTGGAAGACCCATACAGTTTAACTCAACTCACCCTTCTTGGTTCTGTTATACACATGCAATACTACTTTTTCTGGGCTTAACGAGACAACGCGTGTGGCAATGTGCAAAAGATTGTGGCAGCATTGCAACGCTTCTCATCTGGCAGTGCTTGATGCATTGAAAACTGGGCGAGACCCTCATTGCATTATTGCAATTTTTGTAAAGAAAAGAATCCCGGGTGGTTATATGAACTGCACTTAGGCCGCGATTTCGAGCCCCACACTCAAGACCTACCCAAATGCAGGCTTTTAGTTCTTGAGCAGCGGCTAGTCATCGAGACTAGAATAGACTGGGCTTCATGTATGCGCATTTTTTATTTAGTTGGCCTCAAACCCCATACGGCCGAGGAAGTCGACCTGACTCGAATGTCCCCAAAAGATTCCGCACCGCCCGAAAGAACTCCTGACGAGAGTAAGAAGAGCTCGAAAATCGGAAAAGTTTCGTTTGACGACTATCACGCCATGTGGAGTGGAATAGCCACAACAAAACCGGTCTCGAGTTCTAACAATCCGCTAAGTGAGGTTCTCAAAGCCGATTCCAATCTGCAAGTCACACACTTTGGACTGCCGCAACAGGAATTACACGAAGAAATTCACAAACAACTGACTGAGCATAACGCCGTAATGTACGGCAACTTTGATACTGGACGAGATGGCCGGGACTTGACGGAACTGAAGTCTACTAGGATTCAATTGCTGAAACAGATTTACCTGCCTAAACAGCAAGGTATAGTTAGTGCCAGTGTTTTTCGCGTTAAAAGTTCTNGGGGGGGGAGAAGGAGCTGTGAAACAATGATTGCTAGGACAATCATGATAGGTGTGTCGCTGAATCAAATAAATAGAAAGGTTGAATTTGGGCTCCGCATGTTTTTCGGAGAAAAGCTTTAAGTTTTTAAGTTCGTCTACAGCAAACCCGAACGCAGAATGGTTTCTTAACAACTTTAGTGTTAAAGAGCTTATTTGTTTGTAACAGGAAATAATCTATGTTGTACTCAACACCGATAATGTAACTACAAAATACGGAGCAGAAAGATGTAGAATTCACTTTCTTCAAGGTCTTCTTTTTTTCGTCTCATGTGCAGTTTATGTGTGAGCAGTTTTAACTAATAATGGTTTATGAGTTGATTGTTCGCCATTCAACGAACGCTTAAAGCCAGAACCCTCTTGAATAAAAACTGATTTCGCCCCAAACTGCATTGGCATAAGACACAAACACATGAAAAACTTAGAGATTTATAGCCTTTTTGGCGCGTGTTTAATTGGATTTTTAGCTCAAAGGGCACTCCGTAAATTATGTATCATGCGAATTCTCTTCGTAAGTCTTGCGGTGAATCGAGGTGTGTGTTTTTTTTTTGCCTTATAATTTTATAACAGATAGAAGTAATGGTTTTTAATCAAATCTTTCAATTGGATTCAAAGAGTTCTTATTTAGTTTCTTTTTTATTTATGGTTACTCAGGAGGTCTTTCCGGCACGGACACTCCTGTATCAAGAACTCATACATGTGCCCCTTCACCATCGGCAACAATTGCGAGGGGCCTGGAGCCTCATGACCAGGAGGTCGAGGAGCTGTTGGCGTGGACTAATACGTTGCCTTAGTAACTACGAAGTTGATACGACGAAGTATGTGAAGTGATAGCCGCGTCCTAGTTGGCGCCAAAACTGACATGGTTAATTAACTGTTCTTATTGAGCACTGGTGGACCGATCCACCAGAATTTTTTCACGCGTGTGTGAATGAAGACGTTTTGCGGGGAAGGGGTACCGCAAACATCAATTGTCAAACGCTTTATTATTTCAAAAATAAAATAGAACGAAAGGAAGAGTGAAAAGGGTGTGTTTTGGTTCGTAGTATGCGACTCGAGGTAGGCGCCATCATTTTGTTTACATGGCTTTACAAGAGCAGTGCTGAGCTATTATTCTGCCAACTAGATCTTTTGTTACGCCATGTCTTCGTTGCCGTTGCCGTTGCCGTCGTGGTTTGCTGAAGGTCCCTAATAGTAAGACCACAAATGCAGAAATACACGCGTGTTTTTTTATTTTATTCTCATTTTTAATGCATGAAGATACCTATTCCAAACGCTGAATAGTTTTTAGTTTTCGGTTAAGAGAAGCCTAACTTACATATGACAACGTTCTCTTTATCTTATTTTTGTTTATATATACAGCCCTTACTTGTACATTTGAATTAGCTTCATTTATATCGGGCCTCGTTGTCCCTAAAAATAATCAAAGTTATAACTACGGGCACATGCGTTTGTCGAAGACTGTATCTTGTGGATCAACCAAATTTAACGTATGGAGGGGGCTGCATTTGAGTTCCCTGCAAAAGAAAAAGAACAAAAATCGACTTTGTTGATAAACTGACGTGACACATTTTATCACAAGTCAGCAACTCTAGAATGTTTATAACTTAAATTCAACTACAAGAATAACGATGACCACAAACTCGATGCTTATTCTGAAAAACTTTTACTTTAGGTTGTGTCACAGCTCTGAAGGATTCTAATGATCTGCCCTCTTAATAATCATAATAATAATAATAATAACAATAATAATTAATGATAATAATTAATGGTAATAATAATAATAATAATTAATGATAATAATAATAATAATTAATGATAATAATAATTATAATAATCATAATAACCTGGCCAGAAAGCACGTAGGAAGAGGTCTCAAGTGAGTAGAGTCAACGTACAAGACTATCAAGGTGAAGACTGCAATTAAGCTGTACGCAAGTGAAGATCCAACTATGCGCATGGTACGAGAGTTCGAGGAAAAGTGCGAGAGAACTGGAAGACGATCTTTGAAGAAAGATGCCGAGAGATATGCTTCGGAAAGAGGACCTCATCTGAAGTTAAGGTACCCGTGCTCAACTACTAACACCGAAGAAGGAGAAAAGTTACCTGTAGAGAAAGTCGGGGCTACGATGAGTATCAAGGAAGAAGAAAGTAGGACTGAGGAGGTACGCCAACCGAAATGGCAACGAAAGTTGATTAAAGCAAGATGGGATGATGCGGATGTGATTGGCTGTTTCAGTTGGCTACGCCGCTGGAAACTGCGCCCACGCACAGTGGCCGGAGTTTACGAACGATATCAGCAGCTACTCCCCACTAAGATTTACCAACAGTATAAGACAAAGACAAGCAACAACACAGACGTCAAGTGTCGTATGTGCGGAAAAGCTGTGGAGAGCGTCCCCCATGTTTTGAGTGGATGTGGCGCACTAGCTCATAGCAAGTACAAGACCAGGCACGACGCAGCCCTGAAAGTTCTATTCTTCGATCTGCTCTCTGATATGGGCCTAATAGAAAGTGCGCCATCTTCGTGCTCGCCTGAAACACCAAGCCAGAGTACAAGAATGATCGAGCCAGCGCCTTCTGGGATGTGCCAGGTGTATGCAGAGAAGACGGAAATAAGAGCAAACCGGATCGATGCAAGAGTTGTGAATAAGCAGAAGAAGGTGCTACTACTAGAGATGAGTTTCCCGTGGATGGCAAACAGGAAACAGAAGGAAGAAGAGAAAACCTCGAAGTATGCAGCGCTTAGATGGGAGATGCGTCAGCAGTACCCACACTATAAGGTTGCACAGCACGACATCATCATCGATGTCCTCGGGGGCGTATCAAGAGAGACACTAGATAGTATCAAAGAACTCGAAGGCGTCAGGGCAGATAAGATTTTACTGGATATGCAAAAGGCAGTCATCTCATGTACCCTTAACATTGCACGGAGTTTCAAAGTTCTCTCTGCGTAGGACTTATGAACTGGCCAAACTTTTACCCACACAATTCACATCTTTTTGGGTTCTTATATCATTTGAGAATTTCTTTAATTTACTTATTATTTTAGGCTATGGTAATGACAAGCTACGAGATTGCGCCTTGTCAATATCTCATTTAAGGAGGCATCCTTACGTTTTACTGCCCATAATAATAATAATAATAATTATAAGTTTTTTGGGCGCATTTAGAAAACTTAATACGCTTACATTACTAAATAGAAAAGTAGTAATAAATTAGTTGATACCTATAAAATGTTTCTCATAACAGTAATAGATAGTCAATTATTTATAATTCCCCTTTTGTACTCTGGAAACGACTACTGATTTCCCTTCCGTTCTCCCTGAAAACCATGTAAACCCCTTCAAAATACCGCCTCTCCCTCCTTCACCCCCAAGAAGTTAATATTGACTGGTTGTTTACTTACCACGTATCCACCCATTTGAAACGCTGAAGGATCCAGGCGAAGAGTCTCGATGTATGAGTACACCACAACAACAAAGTAGACCTGATAACAAATAAAAGAATAAAATAGAAACAAAATAAAAAATTGATGTCAAAAAAATATAACATAAACAAATATGACATGAATTAAAAGACTAAAAAATGATATTGAAATATATTCTAAAACAAATTTCGTAACATAACTTAACACGGTCCATTTTGGGCCATAATAGTTGTTTCATGGAACTGACCATTTACAAAGGAGATAGTGACTGAATCATAGACTTACTGAATGGGCCAACTGACGGACTGACCGACTCACTGACTGACAGATTGACTGCTTGACTAAATGACTGAGTGCCTGATTGACTGTCTGATTGATTGATTGACTGCCTGACTAAATGACTGATGATTGATTGACTGCCTGACTAATTGACTAACTAACTTAACGAGCGAATGACTGATTGATAAACTGACTAAATGGCTGACTGGCTGATAAACTGTTTGACTGGTTGACTTGCAGACTAAATGACAGACTTACGGAATGAACGAATGACTGTCTAAACAAAGAAAGGAACGGGCGAAGCAAGACCGAATGAACTAATGAAACGGAATATATATCACAGCTCTAACTTTGGAACAGAACACTAATAGGGATTGTAATTTTCTTAAACTCTTCTAGATTCTGGAATTAAAGCTAAATCAGTTTGCAGAGGTAAAACACTATAACGGGGATTGTCATTTCCTTTAAACTCTTCTGGATTCTGGAATTAAAGCTAAATCAGTGTGCAGGGGTAAAACTCACCATTAACAGCCATCCCAAGATCTCAACAGCGAAAAATATCGTGAACTATGAAGAAATTGACGAGGTAAAAATATACTTTAGTATGTAGGTCAAAGCAAAAGTCTTCTAGGATAATAATTTCAGCTTGGAAATTCTCTAAGTTATCAAGTTTCCGCTTTATCCTAAGCTCTCAAGAAGACAATGAAATATCGTCCTCTTTTTCATTATAGTCTACGAATGGCGCCCCCCCCCCCCTCAAACTCATTACCAAGCTTAAAATTTACCGTCTTTCTTAATCTAGTTAAACAATTGTCAAAAAGTATATTCACGGAAGGAAAAGACTTACCCCGTCCCAAATAGCGATGAGAAAAATGGTCACTCCGAAGCTGTAGCAAAGCGAAAAGATTTGCCAGAAAAACCAAGGATATGCCAGATATCTGTTCAACTGGTGGTTAAAAAACAAAAGACAAATTAAAACAAGGCAGATATCTGTTCGAGGGGGGCATTGGGGCCTCTGGGAAACCGCAAAACCGGAGAAAAAACCTCCAAAACCGACAAACCGACGAAAAAAGGCAGCAAAACCGAAAACCGCATGCAATCCTGACAAAACCGCTACATCTTAACCTTTGAAGGGGTCAAAAAGGAAAAACCAAAAACCGCATCAGAGTTTTCGTGAAAACCGAAAACCGAATGTAAAAACACGTAAAATCCGCAAGCCGCTCTGAACATCAAAACCGAAAAACCGAACCTTTTCCGCCCAAAAACCGAAAAACCAATCCAAAAAACAGTCAAAACCGCAAAACTCCTGCCAGTTCCTGTAACGCACATTTGGAATTAAAACAACGATTGTAGCTATCTGTTGAAGACTCACTTTCGCCCGATCGAAGAAATAAACAAGATGCCACAAAATGAAGAAGCGACATTGCGTCATAGTTTTCTTACCGTGCCGTAAGAAATCAACAGCGAGACATTGACTAACACTGTAACGACGGTAAATGCTATGGCAACCACACTCAATTTGAGTACAGCTGCAAAGAAAGGCAATAAAATAGCTTGAAATTTAAATTAAATAGCGTTCAGTAAGGCCCTTTCCCTCGAAGAAGTTCTCACTTGCAAATTGGTGGAGGGATATCAGAAGACTAGTGAAGAAAGACGCGGAGTTTTGTTCGCGAGCCTTAAGAAGTTTTTGAAAATTTATAGTTACCAAGACCTCTCATTAGTTGGCCACATTTCAGATATTCAAAAATAGCTGTCATATTATATTTTTGGATCACGTCAGAAGAGGTCATTTCAAGAGTTAAGTGGCTCATTTGCGTTGTTTAGTGCGCAACAAAGAGTTCGTTTTGTAGAGCTATTTTTTCTTTCGAATTTGATGATCTCTTAGCATCGAGAGTAAAACCCATATTCGGCGAGCGCTCCTAAATTGTAAAGGAGCATTTGATGCTCTCTGTGTACAGCCAGTTTATAAACATGCTTTACATACCTTCTTTGTATTTATCAGAGATCGGCAATGTCTTGAGTGCTTCAGCTTCCTTGGCCCGGTCAGCCTTGTAGTCCTTAACATTCTGATATATTTCGAGTCCACTCGAGAGCTAAATGATAAGAGAAATAATGGCCTTTTAGCGCTTTAACAAGGTTAGTCTGCGAACATGACCTGTGTATCGCAGGATTATTAACCCCATCCTGAGGCCCAACTCAGTGTCGAATACTTTTAAGCAATAGCATAGTATGATTCTTTCAAGTCTTGCGTGCCTCCGAACAACGTGTTTTGCAGTTGCAACTAATCTACGGAACAGGCGCACAAGGTGAGCGTGAAAAGAGAGTGCTTACAGAAAGTTTTTGTTTACACATCTCGGATTACCTTTTGAAGCCTACAAAATGCGCGTCCTATCGATTAATAGCGCTTTATACTAATGACGTCATGAAATTTTAGACCCCCCGCGTGACTCAGACAAACAAACTCCACTTCTTTGAGAACCACAAGGGAAATGGCGAGTAGTTCGCTTATTCCCTTACAGTTCTGACCGAAGAGGACGGCGTTCCTGGCTCCAAATTTGAAAGAGAACCGGAAGAATACACTGTAGACCAGCTAAAACGGTGGTTAAAATGTAGGGGCTTAAAATTAAGCGGTAAACGAGAAGAACTTGTACAGACTGTGTGAGATGCGGGAATTATCACACCCTTGATCCGGCAATCGATCATGGAAAATGGTTTGCTGCCAAAGTTTTTCAAGAAAATTCTGATGTGAACTCAGCAAAGAAAAAGACCTACACTTGCAGGAAATGCAAAAAAACAGGACATCGACATAACCACTGCCCCACACCAATGGATGCATAACAGGGAAAGAGCATGAATAATTGTCATCATTGCAAATTTTTTTGCACTAGGCAACTTAATGCAGTAAATGGTTTGAACCCGGGGGTAACATGTGAAGGTGTAGTCTGATCGTCCGGGTGAGTGTAGTCCTGAGAAGGACTGTTGTCGGTGGTAGTAACTGACGTTTCGACAACCTGTGCGGAAGTCATCATCAGAGTCAAGTGAATGATTGTTGTCAGTAGAATGTTCTTATTCCAGTTATTCCGCACAGGTTGTCGAAACGTCAGTCAATACCACCGACAACAGTCCTTCTCAGGACTACACTCACCCGGACGATCAGACTACACCTTCACAAATTCAAACTTGTTTATCACAAGACGAAAAATCCAATCAGCTGTTCTGATAACTAGCTAAACTAAAATTTCAAAAAAGATGATAATTCCTTCGTTTCTAATTCCGATGACGTCACGTGGAAACCAAAGGCGCTTTCCATTTGACCAAAATTTTCGAGATTTCCCGTCTGAAATCGAACTGAACGGAACACGTTTTGAGTGTGCCCTTTTGGATACGGTCGGACGCGTTCCATTCGGCCAGCGAAAATACCGATATTTTGAACCCGTGATTTTTATTGAATGGAAAGCACAACAAGAATACTTTTATGAAATCATATCGGGGTTTCGAATTCCACTGTAATGTAACGTTACGAACAGTAACTTATTTGATCACACGGTTGATTTCATAAGCGCACCATTATACACGTGTTTGGCATCTTTTCAACGCTAGAGGGCAACTTTCTTCTCATCTTACAAAGCTCTCATTGTCAATCGTTTTCACTGTTTACTGCTCTGAAAGGTTTGTTTCCTCGCAGCAGATCGATCTAATGCATATAATGGTGTTTTTCTATCAGAGAACGAGATCGTTTTTAAATAATTTCCGTTTTATACAAGTGAAAATAGTCTTGACTTAAATAAAGCAGCGTTTGGTCTCGGGCCGAAGGTCTCAGACATTCAAGCAATCTCGTGGTACATGGCTCTTACGGCCTCGTTCGCAAAATTTACGTTAGAAGTCTGGCCCTCTTCCGCAGAAGGAGACACAACAGCACATTTACGAATTTTAACCAAATATAAATGTAATTATTTCCTTGAAGGAAAAGCGTGCCAAATTGAAAAACTAGACTTCTGTCTGCAAATAAGACACTTCCAAAGTTGAACAGAATTTCAACTGGAAACTACGTCAAAGGAGAGAAAGAGTTTTAATTAGTTACGTGTCGAAAGCCACAAAAAATGACGCTCTTGCGACATGATAATTTGCTTCGGTGGAATTTATGTGAGCATGCGATGAAAACGGAAATTTTCTGAAATTCATTCAAGGCGGTTTCCCTGTAATCTCCCCTCCGTTTCAATTAGATTTCGATTCCAGCTGCGCCGCTAGAAATTACCAAGAAACAACTAGCTACGTACGATCGCTTCTGACATTCGATAACAAACGTTGAAAATTCTTATGGAAATCAAAGATACATACAAAGCCGAAGAGGCCGATGAGCAGAATGCCCGTGCGCAGGTCACATCCACAACAGCAAGTCCGCACAAGAATCGCCATAGCTTGAGCCTACTCGTTGCTTTCTAAACGTGATGTGAAGAAATAGGGTGTCAAGACACTGTTCGCTATTCGCTCTTCTTTATCTGGGCGCTGTCATCCCTGAACTCGGAAAGATATCGAGAAGGCATTGGAAGTCAACGTCAATCAAGACATATACCGGCCAATCGGAGTTGAGAGCACGTTTAATCTGTTTGCATTCTGTTCCATCATCTTGTTAATTTTGAATATGTAAAGGCGGAAGCACGCCACGTTAGCTTTGAAAACCGAATTAACTGAAGGTAATTGAGAACAGTCTGAAGATAATAAAACGGCATGACTTCCACTGAATGGTCAATAAACAGACGAAGCTTCTAATGTTCATCTTGTTCTTAACGGTTGCGCCACTCTCGTTTAATGAACATTGAGCAAAACAATAAGCAACAGCTTGTCAGGAATCTTCCAATTGCTTCTAACACAAGAGATTTTCCCGATAATATTCACGTTAAAATGACCCACAGATTCGACTCACTTAACTATTTTTAATGTCCCAAACCCAAAAACTCGCTCAATCACACGTCGCCTCGCACATTGTTATTTTTTCTTAAAATCTAATCTTACATCACGTGATAACAGCCAATCAATGGGTAACGAGCAGAACAAAGGGAACAAAGTTCACTTCCACAGCGTGACAGTCACGCAGTCCAATTCTCAACAAGCTGATGAGCGGTCATTTAATCTGCTGACTCATTGGGTAGTCAAACTATCTTGCAGGATAAGAGTATTTTTTTTTCCATCAGAGTGCAAGCGAACGTGAAGAGCGACGATTTCTGCCATTGCTCGTGGCGCGTATTTCGCGCCTCGCTTTGCAGCTTGGCTTCAAAAAGAGGCAAAAATATCTGTCTTGTAGACTTATTGATAATTGCTCCTAGAAGGTCCTACTTAACCCTTTGATCCTTGCAGTGACTAGCATCTAATTTCTTCTTACAATAACACTCCTGGATCACACAATAAGGTCGGGAGAATGAAGGAAATGATCACCAACTACAGAATCTTTTGCTCGCAAGTTAAACAATTCTCCTTGTCAACGCCTTAGGAAAAGTATAGAGAACAGTATGGAGAATATGCTCACTGATGTTATAGTGTGAAGAGTACATAAAAAACTCTGTGTTCAAATCCCCGATTGATATATTGCAATGCAAACATGCACGCCTCATGCGAAAGACCTTTGCGAGAAGTAGTTTTGGTTTCAAATTTGCGGCTACTTGTCGGCTATAATGAAATAGTGGAGGACAATTTGTCTTGTCACCCCGGGTAAACTCATCGACTTGACTAGATCGTCGATACTGTCCATCTTCACTGTTTCAATGGATTTTTACAAATATCCTTACCCGTTGTACCTTAGTATGTGTGAAGAGTTGGTGTTAGAACTATGGGGAGAACCTGTTGAGAGAGATTTGACTAGGGTCCAGGTTGACCGCGCATTAACGGTCTCTCAGCTGCACAAGAAGTTCCTTCCACGCATTAGAAGAATTCAGAACGGCCGTTAATTTGAAATTCCCGCTGGATTGGTTGCTCAACAAACCATATTTTGGAATCGTTACGGTGGCCAATTTACCACTTCAACTTTGTTGATATATCCAAATTATTTCTTTACTCCCACCGACGCAGCCCCAAACAGTTTCTTTAGAAACTATCAGCCTTTTTACATATTTTGTGGGATTTTCTTCGGTGAACTTAAAGAGCAACTATTTGGCTTTCGTGCTGCCGAGTTTTGACTCGAGGGAAAGTATTTAAGTGTTGTTATCGATCGATTTTGGCGAGCATGTGTCAACAGAAGTTTCCGACCTTCCCGTATTTTATGCACGGTAATTTAGGGCGTCAAGCTAAAACACATCAAAACGGCCTCAAATCGGGAGGAGAACAACACAGACTATTCTCTATGAAGGTAAGACTATTTCTTTGATTATTTCACACAACTTTACCTTTACGGAGCTCAAAAGCAAGTCCAACTAAACCACTATACAAACTCTTCAATTATTCACTGTGAAAGAGCCTGTGACAGAGCTTGGGCCACCTGTGGCTTCGGTGCTAAACTTTGGAACTCCATTTGCGATGCTCTTCGTCAACTCCCGAAGAGAGCTTTCAAAAAAACTCTTCAAGGACATGTTATTTTCGTTCCTAGAGGCTGAGGATTACTATGTTGAATCGCCCCTTCTATTTAAAAAAATTACTAATTATAAACTGGCTTTATAATTTATATTCTACATTAGTATAATTTCAGAGCTGAGAAAAGAGTTTCCAGCAATCTGATTGGTCGAGCGGTTCCTTAATGACGCTATATAAACTGCTCCACGCGGTTTATATAAAATGTTAAAATAAAAAGTTAATAAATGTTACTAAAATGTTATGATTTTAGAAATTTCTCTGTTGTTCAGCTCTGAAATTATACTAAAACAATTATTCGCCTCAGGTTCGTTGAATATTGTCGAATAATCCCCTCGACTTCGTCTCGAGGATTATTCGACGATATTCACCTCGCCTTCGGCGAATAATTGTTAAATGTAGTGTTACTATTTTCTTATGTTTAATGATGCAGTTGTATATACGAGTTTCAGGTGGCTGTCTTTTTCAGGAAATGTTATTAATTTATGTTTAAGCTTTATTTGTACTCTATCACCAGTGCTGTACCTCTAATTCTCGCCCGCCTCGACTTGCTCCTGCCATTTGCGGGCGTGAACGATCTTCATGAACATGAAAGTGTAAATTAGATCAATAATAATTAGATTAATTAAATTAGTTAGATCAATTTGTAATTTGTAATTTGTAAAGGCATAATTAAACAAAAGAAATTAAAACTAAAGTTTTTTATTTTTTTGACTGTCTGTTCATTTGCGTGTCGAATCGGCCGGGGTTTTAACCATTAGGATCTTTCGTAAAATAATGTTTGCTTTCAAGAGAATTCTACACCAGACAAAGCCTATACGTGATCCCAGAAATGTTACCTGGTTCGAATTTTCTTTTCAGAGTACATGATCTATCCAGGGCCGGGTGGAAGTGCCAAATATGGAAAGGCTGAAGAAATATTTTAGCCATTTTTTGCGAGTCAATGTATCGAGGTGTAAATTATTTCTGTCCCAACGTAACTGATTTTCTAATATCATCAGAATTGACTGTTCTGATCACAGATTCCGAGTAAAATAAACAGTGAAAAATATTGTGATCTCTATCCCAGGAGCTAAAAATCTGTTCTCTGATTGAACAAATATTGCTGGTCCAATATTCCTCGTAGTAGCAAAAATTCTACAGATCAGCCGTTTTTTGACAGATGGTTTTTGATTTAACATCAAGCCCCATCAGTGTTTGGTTTGGCTTTAATACATTCATACTTGCATTGTTATTACCAGTGTATGGTAAGACGAGAAAAAAAAAAGGTCAGCCGTTAGGTTTAAGAATTGACAAATTTTAACCATTAGTCTTTAAAAAAAAAAATAACCATACAAATTCTCATTTTAACTCCAACGAAAAGAAAATAACTGGTAGCCACAAAATGGCCAAAGTTCATATCATCAGCCTTAAAAGCCATCACCCCATTATCCCGTTAAGAGCCTCTGTTAAGGCTCTGCCGGGCTGCTTCCCGCGCTGTAGTTCTGCCTAAGAATAGGGACCTTAAACAGTCAGGACGGCAACGGCGAAGAAAACGTCGATTAAAAAATTCATTTAAATTTATAGTCAAAATTTCGTGAATCTCTGGATGTGTTTACTGTCTCCTGCGGCGCCACACCTTGACTTCAGCATCACGTTTGTGAGCGGGGTTAAATTCCACTTTTAGACTTGAATAATTTTCCGTCGGTGTTTCCATTCCCGGACAAAGTAAATTTTGGTGATTTCACGTTGTTGTTTGGTAGAAGACGGCTAAGAAATGTACAGAGTTTTAAAATGCACGTGCTGAGCTATTATTCTGCCAATTAGATCTTTTGTTACGCCACGTCTTCGTTGCCGTTGCCGTTGTGGTTTTCTGAAGTAAGTAAGGTCCCTAATAGCAAGACCATAAATTCAGAAATACGCACGTATCTTTTTATTTTATTCTCATTTTTTATGCATGTAGATACCTATTCCAAACGCTGAATAGTTTTTAGTTTTCGGTTAAGAGAAGCCTAACTTACATATGACAACGTTCTCTTTATCTTATTTTTGTTTCTATATACAGCCCTTGTACATTTGAATTAGCTTCATTTATATCGGGCCTCGTTGTCTCTAAAAATAACCAAAGTTATAACAACGGGCACATGCGTTTGTCGAAGACTGTATCTTGTGGATCAACCAAATTTAACGTATGGAGGGGGCTGCATTTGAGTTCCCTGCAAAAGAAAAATAACAAAAATCGACTTTGCTGATAAACTGACGTGACAAGTCAGTAACTCTAGAAAGTTTACAACTTAACTTTCAACTTCAAGAATAATGATGACCACAAACTCGATGCTTTTTCCGAAAAACTTTAGATTGTGCCACAGCTGTGGCACAATTTTAGTGATCTGCCCTCTTGATAATAATAATTATGATAATAATAATAATAACAATAATTATAACAATAATAATAATAATACGTATGATGCACGATCCTCGCAGTAGATAGCGCTATTTATGCAATAGCGAAAATCAGACCTGAAAAAAATTAGGCCTGTACGGGACTCGAACCACTGACCTCTGCGATACTAGTGCAGCGCTCTACCAATTGAGCTAACAAGCCAACTGGGAGCAGGCCGTTAAGTTGATTCGTAATAAACCCGTGAAAGTGATAAATGAGATACAATGAATATATGAAGTTCATATATTTTGAACTGCGGTATTAGATACGTATGATGCACGATCCTCGCAGTAGATAGCGCTATTTATGCAATAGCGAAAATCAGACCTGAAAAAAATTAGGCCTGTACGGGACTCGAACCACTGACCTCTGCGATACTAGTGCAGCGCTCTACCAATTGAGCTAACAAGCCAACTGGGAGCAGGCCGTTAAGTTGATTCGTAATAAACCCGTGAAAGTGATAAATGAGATACAATGAATATATGAAGTTCATATATTTTGAACTGCGGTATTAGATACGTATGATGCACGATCCTCGCAGTAGATAGCGCTATTTATGCAATAGCGAAAATCAGACCTGAAAAAAAT